AAAAGAACTGGGAGACAAATGAAAAGAAGTGGGAGACAAGCCAGCCGCGAACCCTACCAGACCATCCAGCACCAAGGCGACCATTCTTTAAAGCATTGAGAACCCCTAACAGTAAACTGTTTGGGGAAGAGAACCCCTAACAGTAAACTGTTTGGGGAAAAAGGTTGGAGGCCATCGCTGTTAGGTTGGAGGCCATTGCTAGATTGAACACTGTCACAACCAGGATTCTCTCCAGCCTCCAGCCTCCGTTTTTGTCGCACCGAGGTCTACCTGCGCCCCACGCCGTTGCTGAGGCAAGTTGTTCCCACCACTTTGTGAATGCCAGAATACCTTTGTGGTCACGGTGGATTTCAGTTTTCATGTTGAGTGTGCCAGCTTCAAATGCTCCAACTTGGACTTATGAAGAAACGGATTTTCTGGATGTTGGTTCAAAGAGAGTGTTGTTGCAGCTTTGCAAGCAAGCAACTCAAAAAACAATAGCTGTGCCATGCTTATGATGCTTCAGCGGGGCCTTTGTCGAACCACACCGGATCCCACCGGGTACGAGCTTTGGGGTCATGACAGGCAGCTGGAGCGTCGGATCCCCGCACAGACGCTTGGAACGAGAACCGGTGGACTTGCCTTTCCCGATTTCTTCGTTCCCGGATTGGACTCGCCTTGGATTGCGAGGCACTTGCTTTTGACGAGCCAGCGTTGTAGGTGTGTGGGCTCGTGATGGGTCGGCTCGTCACCAGTTGAGGGGGCGTGTGGCCTGTGTGCCGTGTCTGAGGTACGCTTGGGCGATTTTCGATTATATCAGCCCGGTGCCACGGGATGAGGATGACAACTTCTACAACCCTGAGGACCGAGGGAAGGGACGAGCTCTTGACTTTTATCAAGTTGGAGACCAAAGCACACAACGCAGAGGTTGTTCGATGGTGTTTCCTTTCAAGAGATGTGCTGATTCTAGCCTGGAACTTACTCTGACCAATCTGAATCATGAAAATTGCAACTCCACAAAACATTTGAAGATATTGGAGGCTAGCTGATGATCGAAAGAAGTCATCAGCGGAATCGGCAGCAAAGTCAGTCAGCTCCTTCGCCCTCCCGACTCGTTTTCCCAGGAGACCTTCCCATTCCCCGTCTTCCCGCCCTACCCGCGGGGTGTGGTGCGGGTCTTGTCCATGGATGTGGTGCGGCTTCTGGCCAAAGCCAGCCAGGAGGCGGCGGGTCACAGAGGTCACATGGTGATGCGGTTTGCCCGTCTCTCTTTACAGTTGGCTCAAGGATTAAAATACTCCTTCAAGCAGGGCAGGATTGGATGAGCCTTGGTACTTGCTGGTTCCCTTAACAAGAAACCTGATTCCGTCCGGCGCGCGCTCTCTCTCTCTCTCTCTCTTTGTCTGAACTCGATCCCTATGTAGTTGCCAACTCTTCACGGATGGCTCCTCAGCGATTGGCAGGGGCGGCTGCGAATGATCTATGGTCTTGCCGCCCAGATTTAGCTCAAAGGAAATGGTTCACACAATGGATCTCCAAACCGCTTGCCTACGCCAACCAAGCTTGGGAGTGTCAACTTTTTGCTAGACATGCAATAGCATGCATTTGTATCAGAGTGCTGACTCCCAGCCTGGTCACCTTCAATGCTTGTCAGGCTAATGAATTGTGGGTTTTTCACATTGGTGCGAGATAGATAGATCAGATCAAAGGAGATCTCTCCAATGAAGGGGCTGTAAGAAACTGGGATTACCATGGACCAAAAGGGTCCCATAGAAGTTTTCACACACACACACATGTTCACCAAAGGACAGAAATCAATGATTTTCACTTTTATCCAACTGGGTCCCAGCCGGGTTCCCCATCTCCAACATTTGCACTTTCCCTCTGGGGACGAGCTCCCCGACAACGAACTACGAACTGCCAGGGGATGACCCGTGCATTGGGGTCCACTTGAGACAAATTCTGCTGGGCGATGATCCCCTACCATCCTTGACCTTGGACTGGGCGGGCCTGCAGGGCTGGAGGGAGAACCAACGAAGCGCAGGAATGTAGGGGAGGGTAGATCTGCAGCACTGGTTAGATGTCCTGATTTAAACAGTTGAAGTGCCAAGTTTGAAGAAGGGCTTTACTGTAACAGTTTGAGACCCAATCAATGTTGTAAGACTCCTCTGAACTCCATCCGAGCTTATTCTCTATTGTTCATCGCTGGCAGAGATGACCATGCCACCATCACATGATTTGAAGCGCGAAACCCAACCCGACACTTGATATGCACCACGTGTACGGTCTGTGGAACTGGATGCTTTAGGCTTGTTGATGCTGCAAGACCAACAAAGGACAAAGGACGGAGCGACCAAGGTGGCCAGATCAGCTGGCCACCCTCCGAGCTTTTTGGCGTGAACATTTTGTATGACCAGGTCATCCGCTCCAAAGGAAGGCCACACGGACGGGAGCATCCACTGGTTGGTTTTTGTTTCCAGTAGCTGTTTCAACTGCCCAGCCCATGCCCTTGGCAAAACAGAATTTTTCCACGACCACCATGGTCTTTTCCGCAGACCGTCGCAGGATGACTTTGACAACCGAGTCTTTGCGATGGAGCCGAGTTCCGTGGCAGCGATGCGTTTGCGAAGACCGGAGTGTTTGATGCGGTTTCCGTGCAAGAAGTTGGGAACCCAAGGCAATCGCAGCTACATGGCTTGGTATTCTCAACGGGGGTGTCAACCAGCCACCCCTTGGATGTTCAGACGTTTCTTGTGCATGACGGACGGGACCAAGACTTTCAAAAAGAAAAGATACCAGGTCTTCAGTCTTCAGCACCTCCAACTTAGTAGTGCCACCTCCAAGTCATGTTTGTAGATGGTTAAACATGGTCCCTCCGTGTTTCTCTTACTCTCAATGGAACGTGATGGTCCCGTGTCACCATCTTCCAACGAACTGACCGTCTTGGCCCTCCGCCTCGGTCGAGGTTGTCACCAGAACTTGTGGTCGAAGATGACCAATCGCACTTGGGCGATTCACCACGTGTGCCTCGGTTCGGTGTCGCAACAAATGGGGAGACCGACCCAAAACTTCGACTTCCTGGAAGTTTCGGGAAATAAACCAGTCAACCCGGAAGAAACACAACACACCCCTTTGGCTTATACTGAGATAGATACCTGGCTGCCATGCCTCTCCCCTGGCTGCTGGAGTTTGCCCCTAAAGAATGCCTGGAAAGGATGTATGAGATATATCTATTGATATCCTTCTATTTTGCTGTGCATACAGTCCGGTGCTGCTGGATGAAGACCCAACACTTTTCCACGTCCATGCTTGGAGCCACACTGATGTGCTAGCCGCGGGAGGGAGGCAGAGGATGGAGAACTTTACTCTTCCAGATTATTTGGCTGTTGGTGTGGTCAGCACTATACACCAAGCATCTCCGACCAGGAAACCTGAGCAGATCTCCTGCATGTGGTCTGCCGATCTGGCCGCGGGCTACTACCAGGACACGGATTTAGGCATGGGCCTCTGTTTTATTGGTCGGATTTGTTCGGGTGAAGCCATGAAGAGGGGCCCTGTTGTGGGCTGGAATCCTTTATTTTTAGAGTTTAATCAACATTGTGGCGAGAGTCTCCATTTTTGATTGGGACCAATTACTTTTGATCGGCTCTCATGTTGATGAGGGGATATGCCCACAAAACTCCGAGCCCCAAAGTTGCCATGTTAGCCCCCGGCCCTGGGGGTCGCGGAGTTTCAGGCACATTCTACATATATATATATATATGTATAAGTAAGTATGCAATACGCATTCATACTCAGACGGAAAATTCTTTTAAATACAGTAGACATGCTAGAGCTGACTCTGCTTTTCTTTCGATAGCAATGTTGAGCCTTAGACATTCTTGGACTCCTTGAAGAGACAACGGCGCCCTTCGGGTCCTCAGAATTTAGTGGGGACAGCACCGAACCTTCTCCCAGGTCTCCAAGTCGACGAGAGCCGGGAGTTGAACGAATTTCCGGACCTTTGTGGCTGTGCCACAGAGCCTTAGATCTGGAAAGGGACAGGAGAAGGCGGCCAAGAAGCTACTAGTAGCTCCTGGCCTTACTACTAGGAGCAAAAAGCTACTAGTAACAAAGGGCATCGCTACTAGGAGCAAGAAGCTCCGGGTGACTTCTGCGGCCTGGATTGTTTGGAAACCTCCTCCTCTAGCAGCCGCCACGGGGTGTTTTGGGACACGAATCGTGCGGAAGCTCTACTTATTACTCTTAAAACATGCCCCCCCCATACAGTCTGCCGAACCCCGTGGTTGACGCGCGATTTCCTTAACCAAGCTAAACATGAAGGCAAGCAGGCTGGCCGGGTGATCCAAGAGTGGGTATGTTGGTTTTCGTTCAACAAAAATCTGATGTTTGATTTTTGCTCTTTATTTGTTTGATTATCGGTTGGAAGTGATTCTAGTTTCGCATGAACAGACTACTAGTCAGTGGAACATATTTCCAACATTTTCCAACAATTGATTTGGACGCTACCTACACAGACTCCTGGGGACTTGCGATTCTTGAAGTCCAGGGCGTTGCACCGTGACGTCAGGATGAGAGCTTCTTCGAACGCAGCGACCTGGACAAGTTACAGGCGGAGACGCAGAGGATCTTGGAGGATGAGGAGCCTGGGAACGGGGGCCACCCCAGAGTCGTCTTTGCTGGGGGAGTTCAGGCAACTGTACCCTCTGGGGTTCAGGAGCTCACCGAGAAATCAATCAAACATTGAGGGGATGATGTCTAGTCTCTTCCGATTGTGCAGCTTTTGTTGTGTCACGCAGTTGGGCATTTTGCAGGGGAGACGTAGGTTTGCAGCTGAGGTTAGTAGCTCGTAAGGCAGGAATTCAGATGTTCTGGATGATAACTTGGGCAGTGGTGGACGGGGTTTCGGATGTTGTGCAGAAAGGAGGGGACTGGAGGTCGTCGCGGTTTCCGAGGCGGTTGTGTCGGTATTACTGTAACCATCCAGATAGCGAGTATGAGGCTTAGAAGCTACGAACGGGGCTCCTGGCCTTACTACTAGGAGCAAGGACGCTAGTAGGGGCTCCTGGCATCGCTTCTAGTAACAAGTGCCTTACTAGTAGTAACAAGAACGCTCCTAGGGGCTCCTGGCCGTACTACGAACGGAGCAATCGGACGCTATGTGACACAAAATGGTGGGAGAACACGCGCGAGACTCGAGACACTGAGCGTTTGTGGAGCGGGAACTCTTGCCCCACAGATCCCGTGGTAGAATCATCAACAGCCTAGAGCATGGAAGTAAACGAAACGGGAGCATGTCTCGTTGAGTTTCTTTGGTGTCCTGGGTCAGGTCAGGTACGACAGCAACCTCCACAATGCATAGATAGACTCTGAATATGGCTTGGATAGACGAAAAGACGTCCTCTTCTGAATAGTGATTCATTGATGCGTTGATTGGGGTTTCCACACTCCACACTGCTACTGAATCGAAGTTTGGTTGAAGAATTCAGCAACTTGAGCGCACCTGCGAGGAGTAGCATGATGTGCCCCAAAAGAGCAGCAGCTGTTGCAGCGAGGATTGGATGCCAAATGAATCCAAAAGAGAACCACCTGTATTTGAAATCTAGAATCGTGTGGAAACTCTAATATCATCGAATTGGCTCATTGGGGACTCTTCAGAACAAACATTCTCAGGCTGGGTGCTGTGAGATGGGTGGGAGTGGCCAGCGGTGTAAGTGGGGAAATTGGAAAGCCTTCAAAGGACTCCCCAACTGGCCCAAACTTTTATGGTTGGAGAAAGTAGACAGCGAACCTTCGGCAGACTTGAGTTCTGTCCCGAAGCCTCACCTTATTGGCTCAACAGGACAAGATACAGCGAAGCAGAATTAGCTGCATGTGGGGTCCATGTCGGTGGTTGTTGGGGAATACAAAGGTCCTACATTCCTCCTGGAGTCAACAAGCAGTATCTGACCTTCGGGTGGCTTGGGCGGAGCCAAAGGAACTCCAGCTTCTCAAAGGAGAAGCGTCTCACAAGCGACCTTCAAAGCTGAGGCCATGTCGAAGGCCCAGTGCTTCAAGGGGGGCAGTTCGACCGGTCAGTTGGCTCGACGGCGGAAGTGTAGGGCAAACTTCGTGTTGCTAATGTGCAGAAGTAGGTGCAAACACAAAGCTATATATATATATCATACACATATACAGACACATACAAGTACTTTTGAAGCTTATTGGGTAAGACCTGAATATGTCTGATGTCGTTGCGACAAGCTAGCTACCCAAAGAGGCAGTCACAATGACGAGACTCTCTCGACTGCCAGATATTGGAGTCGGCGCAGAAAGGGACGCGGCAGCGGTCCCTGGATGATGACATCAGGCGTGGGGCTTTGAGGGTGAATCGCTCACAGCAACTCACGGGAGTTTCTAGGTGATGATTGCATGTTTGTTCACTTCAAACACACAAGAACGGACGCCACTAAGCGGGTCTTTAGCTACTATTCACTGCACTCGCGTCAGCACAACTCGCTTGTTTAAGCACTTGAGGCTCATGGCTGGTAGCATGCTGACCTATAGCAATCTGATCTACACGCAGGAAGGCACGGAAACACAGGCAGGATGCAGATTTCTGGGATCGGATCAGATTGCTCTGGGAGCTGGAAAGGTGGACGTGGTATGAAACTGCATCCAGTGGTTGGTGCAGGACATGCGTTACTTGGATTTAGGGACTTCAGGGATCTTGGAACACAAGTCCTCCCTTTAAGCCGGCAAGTCGATCGGTGAATGAGCCACATAACGACTTTTATACTTCGAACCGACACTCCAAACTGTTCCGGTCCCGGTTGGAAATCCGGCGTGGCACCTTGTGCTCAACTTGTGCTCGTGAAAATGGGGTTTTCACACGAAGAACCGCTCCAGTTCGGACATGGCAGGCGGTGAAAATGGTTGTGCGGAAGCAGCGGGAGAAGTTGTTGGGCTGTCTCATGTTGCCCTTGGCCTTCATGTACTTCATTTTGCCTCTCGGTCCGAACACATGCTGTCCTCTCGGACCGGTTTGGCACGAGGGGGAGATGATGTGGAAAAATGATCTATCCGTTTCCTCTACCAAAGAGGAAACTGTAGCTAGAATCTAGAAGTTGATGTTGTCATTTGTCGTGAGGCTGCTTTATTACGTTGAATGACAGTTTCTCAGCAAGGTATGACGGGGTTATCCTTCTTTGGAGACCCTTCAGCAGGCTAGTGCAACGGGGGCTGTTCCAACACGATCAGCTTCAAAGCCTTCCACTGCTAGAGAGAGAGAGAGAGAGGGAGAGTTTTGTTATATAATGTGTTTTGGAGATCTTGATGCAGGGCTCAAAATGGCATTCGGAACAGTATTCAGTGTTTCGTAGTCAGACTCTCGACGCTTGCTCGAAAGAGCATGCTCGGAAGGACATTAGAGAAATGAATAACATGAAAGAAGGACCTCATTTGGCCAGCATTTGGAACATCAAGATTCCACGCTCCCAAATTTCTGGGGATTTTACGTTTCTCCAAGCAATTCTATCGACATGCCTCGTGCTCTTTAGGCACTTGGCAGTGGCGCTCCAGCGCTCTACAACCTAGCCTTCTTGTTACTAGTAGCGTCCTTGCTCTTAGTAGTAAGGCCAGGAGCCCTTAGTAGCTTCTTGCTCCTAGCACAAACTTCCGCACACACATTCAGTTGACCCCCGTGGAATAGGAAGTTCCTCACGAGATGACTTTGCTAGTCGGTTGGAGGCCATCGGTTGCAGGCCATCGCTAGTAGGTTTTGATTCTCAGCACCGAGGTTTTCGGCATCGATTATGCTCCACGAGGAGAGAGTCGTGTGGGGAGGTCATTTTTCCACCAGGGCCGTGCCCCAGTTTGTCCACGCACAGCACACATGGTGGAGGCGGCAGTGGAGGCGGCAGTTTTCGACGCTTCCCTCCCAAGTTTGCTGCCCTCCAGCAGCGAAATCGTCCAAGCAAGGAAACCCAACCAAGTGCACTCTGATGGAACTCCAGCTTGGAACGCCCACTATCACCAAGCTCACCACGTTACCGCCTCGTTTTCAAGATCGCAGGACATCTCAGATGTCTATATGATTGAATCAGAGCTGCGGGCTAACATGGACTCCATCTTCGACGGGGTGGAGGACATTGACAGTTTGTGGGCCTCTCGGCGAATGAAACTCACAAGTCCCTCCGGACGAAGGTCTGGGGGAGAAGTGTCTTGTGAAAGGCTGCGACAGAGTCCTGATTCATACCTTGAAGAGCCTGCCAAGGAGGTTGCTTTTGTGGGGTATTTGTATGCAAGTGTGTGTTTTTTTCGTCAGTATTTTAAAGTCATTCCCGCTGCTCCAAACGCAAACACTAGAACTGACCAACGCCGGCCTCGAGATTTCAGATCTCCCAGATGTGCGCAACGGGCACTGAATGGCACCGAGGACACACTGATGGGAGACTTTTCACAGATCTTCTTCACCCAGACGGACTGCCCGAGATTGGCGTTGTACTTCCCCATATTAGAGGTACAAGGATGTACAAGGGTCATTCATGGTCATTCAAGACGTTTCGATACCACAAGCATAAAGAAACACGTTGCACTTGTATTGCTTTGGATGATAAAGTTGATCTGGCTGGCTCTTTTGTTTTCAGTTTCCCCCTCCATTTCGCACTTCTCGCGCCCTTCTCCGCACCCAGGACATGTACGGGCGAGCCATCCAGCGGCCCCCGGCCACGGCGACGGACAAGTGGGGCACCTGGGGACAGGTGGGGGTCTACAACCAGATCCAAGGCGCAGGGGGCGTTTTTCCGCACGGGTCGTTGCGACAGCGGGAAAAGCCGGGCCTTTTGTGGAGTGTGGTGTGGAGTGTGGTTTGCACAGCTGGAGTTCAAAGGACCCTTAATTATCAGGAAACTTTTTGGATTTCAGGTTGTCTTGGGTTGCTGCTGAAATGCAAAAAAGAGTGACAAACATGACTTCTGAAACATCCGCCGGGACGCGACTGAAGTCGACGGTGTCTCAACACATCGGTTGAAGACTGCCATGCGTCAGGTGCTATCCGCTTTCAGCAGACCCGTGCCTTGCCAGAATACTGGAATGGCTCGAAGGCCATTTTGATGCCTTTCTGTAGTGTGTCTTGAAAGGGGAAGATCTGAATCAGATCTGACGAGCGTGCCTTGATTGTTACTTGAGAAGCTCCCTGGTTCTACCCAAGTTGCCTCAGAAAGATATGGAAAGATCGTCCAAAGAATTCCAGTAACATTTCTTGGCAGCTCATTTTGCTTTTCCAGGGCGACTAGCTGCAGATTGGACCCTACCGATTTCATCCAAGTCTATACCAAGGAAGAACTGCAGCTGGCTTTGGCAAGATCTACATGTGTAACAGCAATGTGACTTGCTGCTCGGCTTTGTTATTTTTTCATTTGCATGTCCTTCAGTCCGGACATCATGGTCCGCACCTCGCTCCGCATCCGGTCCGCACCGCGCGCGGGTCGCTCCGGTCGAGGCTTCCTCTGTCGCAGCAATCGCGGCTTCCAGCCCGCCTACCTGGTCTCGTCGGGCGAATCTGCACCGATTGATTGCCTGGAAGCCTGGGGACCGGGGCGGACGCCTGGTGATGTGTGGAAGGGATTGTTTGGTTGAATAGAGAAGAGTTGAAAGGTTGAGCAGAAATGGTTTGACATGGATGGATTTCTCATCCAACCAAGGCTCCAGCAGCCCGAGGGTCTCTTGCATTTTAAGTGGCAAACGTCCGCCCAGGTGGAGACTGGCCAGATCCAAACCGCAGGCAGCGAAGTTCGCGCACGCGCTCCGCGCGCGGACGGGTCGGGAGGCTGGAGTTGAAACGCAACGAACCGTTGAGCCATTTGCTCATGGTAGAGGACGGAAGCTCATTTTTTTCTTCGGATGCATCATGTACACATACGTTCGATTAGTGCAGCTTGATCCGTCAGAGTGTCTCTGTGAGACAGCTGAGTGCCAGCTAGACTCTGCAGAGAGACAGATAGATACTGTAGATAGATAGATAGAGAGATAGAGAGAGAGAGAGAGAGGGGTGACATTTGCCTTGAAGTTCTTTTGTCAGCGACATCTTGGTTTGTGGGGTGTTATTATTTGAGGTGAACAACAAGAAAAGGAGTGGATTAGGGCATCTTCACACACCATTTTTGTTTTGCAAGTCTAGCTTTGACCAGTCAATTGACCAAAGTTGATTCAGGATCTACTTGTTTCGACTCCAATGCATGCTCCAACAGTTGTGCCACATGAGGGCTATTTAGTGGGCTGTGAACTTGAAAGGGTAAAGAGAAGCACCATTTTAGGTGGACGGTGCCAGGTTGAAAAACCTGCCTGATTTTGGCAAAAGATCTCATTCAACAGCCCACGACATGGCATCGCAATTCACCCAGTTGAAGTCTCCTTGTCGCATCATACCACCACGGTTTCCGAAGATGATCTCCATTGATGCTTTTTGTCCAATTTTTGAGATTCGTTGGCTTCGACATGGCCTCTGTGCTTGAATTCGGTTCTCGAACAACATCCTAATCCCATCCAATTAACTATATCCCATCTATGCCTATGCAAGATCGAGAGTCTAACGGATTCACAGGGTGAACTTCCAATTTTGCGTCGCAGTTCTTTTCAGTTCCGAGCCTTCCACGTTCATCCAGCGGTGCTCCACCTTGAGGCTGGAGGAGCACACCGCAGATCCCGAAGAATTGCTGCTCGGCCGCACTCGAGAAGATGCGACCGCCCGGCGCGGGCGATGGGATCCATGGAAATCAATGGAATTGAAGTCGTGCAACGAAAAAGTCCTTGAGGCTTAGGTTACCTAGGTTCTTGGATTTGCGTGGAATCCTTTATCCATTTGGACCACCCCAACTGGCATCGACATCATTTTAAAGTCTTCTGCTGATCAGGAGTCCTCGGCGGTTGTCTTTGATGCAACCAACTCTCCAGCAGCGTGGCAACAAGGGGCGGCTGCTGTGAGAACTGTAAAGATTAACAGCTTGACGAGCGAAGGTTCTTGGACAGGCAGGAGCTTGACCCCCATCCCATCGAATGGATAGTGCGTGGGAGTCCGTTCGACGGTGGGAACATGCAAATCCACCTCTTGGGCTTGGGCCCCGTTCCGACCACGTCCGCGCGAGGCAGTTCGCTTGTTCTGGCCTGTCCGATCGGGCGGGGCACATATGGTGCCCCATTATATATATATATATAGATCCCATGATCATGGAAGCATCATGAACTGTCATCTTTTTAGGCCTCTGCATAAACTGTAAAAGACCTGTCATGAAGTTCATGAACTGTCTCTTTAGACCAAATTGCTGAGGTCCTCATTGCCCAAGGAGTCTTCGGATGAGATGCAGCTCTTTAGGCCCTGGCAGTCCGGATCTGTTCTCAAAGCCGTCTGCTGGCCCAGTAGTTCCACCAACATGTGCATTCACTTTTGACACGACAGAGGTCTTCATTCATGGCCAAGCCGTGCCATCTGCGCCATTTTGGGAGGTTTTACATCTACCCCTCGGAGGATCTCAGCCGCACCATGGAGCGTCTGCAGTACTTCCGCGGCCGAAACTGGCTGGACGAGGTGGGCTGGGGATCAAACGACCAAACAACGACTCCCGGCTTGCCCCAGTGTGGAAGCAGCAGCAAGCCCGGATCTAAGGACTACAGCTTCGTGCTGGTGGGTTTGGCGTTTTGTTTTTTGACCGGACATGCGTGCTCACGGGAAACTAGCATGAAGCTAACGAAACACCTAGACGACAGGGCCATGGGCGCTCTCTTAGCTTCAAAGGTGCGCAATTTGTATACTATTCGCACATGTTTTTTTTTTTTTTTTTCTCAGCTAGACTTTCTTCCATCATATCGTCGCTCCCACACTGTTTGGGGCATCAAATGGCTCCACCTTTTGTAAAAAGTTGAAAGGCGGAGCTGCGATGTCACCCATCATGTGTCGAGGGTTTTGTGTTTCTGTGAAGGACTCTCGAGTCCTCCAGATTCGCTACCGAGATGCATTGGATCATTGGAGTATTGAGTTGGGATTTCTTGGAACCCTTGGGGCACGGAAAAAGAATATATATATATATATACATAGCTCGTAGCATCGTTTTGCAGATTAGTTGAGACCTTTGTGGCACTTAGACTTAGAATTTCTGCCTTCTTGAGGTTTGTACTTGTTGAACTCGGAGCTTGGCCAGCCGAACATGGAGCAGGTCACTCTCACCTTCTTCTTCGCAGATGGCGGAAGCTTCTTGGCTGCTCCACAAAGCCCAACACTTGCATCGAACCAGACACCCAGCGTGAGGAAGTTTTTATTGACTTGATCAAAGGTTGCCCTGTCCTGCCTGGTCCTGCCCCCAGAGTTCGGTGTATACACTTGCAACAGACCTGTGAAGTAAAGGGGATCCCCCAAAAACCATGCTGTGTATCGCCCAGTAGGACGGATCAACCACTGTACCGGACTGTACCAATTGATATGGTCGTACCGGATGTCTGCTAGACGTATGATGTCCACGGCTTGTGGCGTTCAAAGTTGGATGATCTCTTTCAGCTGCCGCTTCTGGGGATTCATCCAGAAGCAAGCGATTCTTTGCCCATGGGACTGGCACTCTGAGGCATCTACTACAGCCGAGATTTCCAAGCGATTTTCTTCAAGATCTTCCCCAATACTCTCTGCATGGTCGCTGATGGTTTTTTCTTCCTCACCCTTTGCTTCACAGGCGCCAGACATTCGCAAACTTGCTTTGGTTGAGGACACCAGGAATTGTCCCTGCTAGAACCGGCTGAAAGTTGCCAAATACGTTTGGGAAATCCAATTCGTCTTCACAGATGCACCATCGAGCATCTCATGGTTGAAGCCGAAGTTGAATTTTTTGTGGGCACGCATCTGGAGTGGCGACTTGCTGCTATGACGGTGTCACGGAAAAGCTTTCCTGAGCAAGACTGGGGTCCAGGTGACATCCATTACAGCCACCTTAGACTCTTCTCGAGGTTCCATCAAACCATAGAGATCCTAAACCTCCGCTTCCTCCGCTGCGTCAGGTATCTTGCAGGCGGTGGTCCTTTGGCGCGCGCTCCGGGACCGGCGCGTGAAGAAGTACCTCAGTGACATTCGGACCGCGGTCCGCCCGACTGCGCAAAGCCATTGGTCGAGCGCATGTGCAGTAGAAGCAAAGCCGTTCACAAATGGCATCTCAGTGGCCAATATACCAGTGGGGTCATCGAAGTGAGAGTTCTGTTGGGGTCAGCTGGGAGAGAGAGAGAGAGAGAGAGTGAGATTGGAGTGGCAGGAACTTGCTTGAGCTGCTGGTGATTGCCATCGGCATCTATTTCTGTGCCTTGTTCACAATTCTCAGCGCATTTAGAATTTCCTGTGTGCAGCACCACGGCACCAGCTTCAATCATGTGCTTCAGTACAATACAAGTTCAATAATCTAAATGACTCTGTCACGTGCTTCTCCATTTGAGGAGAGCACCGCGGGCAAGCCACAAACGGCTGCAGAAGAATAACTCTGGACTCATCCGCTTATATACATTATTGTGCGACTAGCAGTGACCCGCCATGCAGGCCACCTCTTGCCGCTCTTTGCTCCCTTTTGCGTGTGTAGATCTACTTGAGCCGAACAAATCAACCAACAAGCCCAAGCGCAACAGATTGGGTCGCATGTTTCGGACCCCCGCTCTGAATCTCTTCTCTTCTCGTCACGGTCCCATGGACCAGTCTTGAAGAGGGCTTCAAACCACAACCCGAGGTGCCCAGTTCTACATGGTCTTCCTCACCAAGGCTGGGTAAGACTGGGATTTTTGGGGCTTTCTCAACAAGCCACAACTACTTTTGGGATCCTTTGGACTGGAAAGACCGCCCTTCGATCGATCTGAAAAAAGACGTCACTTCGTCATTCTGACGCCAGAGAGACGAAGGCTCAATCGTGCCGGCACGTCTGTGAAAAAATCATTTTGGGGTTTGGATCGTCTGTTTTTCCGAAAGTTCGAGACGACAACGTGGCGGCACTTGGGTGAGACGACGACGTGGGACGTGGCCGTTTTGGGTTAGGAGAAGACGACGGAGATCGTGACCGACCTCCGGGCCAATGGCTGGTATGTGCACGATGAGCAGCAAAAGGCCTGGAGTGGGAGGATGCCCCATAGCGGTGTGGGGGGATCCCATGAAATCCGACGTTGGTCTATTTTCCTTCCTTCCAGGATGGTCGAACAGTGGGAGGTCTTTATGTTTTGCATGCAGATCCATAGATTCAACTGGTCACTGGATGGTGAGAGAAAGCATGGATAGCTTGATTTGGTGCCTCAGGTGGTGGAGGACCTCTTCCAAGTGGGTCGCTTGGAGACCGATGGTGCGGGAGGTCGCTGGGTGTGGCTGGGTGGTCGCTGAGCTCCCGCGGCCGGCGCAAATCGGGTGGGACCTGGCCGGACCTGGTGCTGAAGAAAAGGAAAACGACCTGCCAGCACCACCCAAAAGAGTGGTTTAAGGACCCCAAAAGACTATTTATTCTCTATTTTCCATCTAATAACTTTTCTATCTAACAACTAACAACCACCCGAACTGGTGGTGGTGGAAGCAGTTGGTGGTCTAAGGTGAGTCGGCCTCCAATGAACTTCTGAGCTTGCGGCTGCTTGCAGCCAACTACACCTTGATCCTCACGCTGCTTGGAGCATGTGAGAACTAGAGAGGGATGATGCTGGTTCTGAGGACAGATAGTAGAACCGATAGAAGAGAGAGAGAGAGAGAGAGAGAGATTTTTTGTTATCGATCACTCAGCTGCTGCAGCTATCCAAGTTGCTGTAAATTCTGGAAAGTAGTGTTTGCCAAGGCCCCACATATGAAGTTTGCATCGGCATCCTGTCACTGCTTCAATTGACTCCAATGGCCTCAAGCCAAAAAGGGTGGGCCATTGGACAACGCCTTGATGCCACTGCCAGCAGGATCATCTTGTTTAGCAAGTGGTGGGCATCCCTCCCATTGTCCTGGCACACCTGGCGTTAACACCCTGCTATAGTTGCCTTAGCTATTGTTTGAGCTAGCAAAGTGTTTCCAAATGCCGGCAGGTAGGCATCGAGCCTATGGATTGTATTGAAAAAGCAGAGTCAGAGTGCTAGGCTGTCGAATTGATTCCTAGAGGCCTGTCACACGGCAAAGGCTTGTCTCTTCCTCGCTGGGTCTCTTCGCATCGCGGCGTTCAGGTTCCGGTTCTTCGCGAACTTCCAGGCACAGCCACAGCTGGCGATCATCACCAACACCTTGGGCTCCCTCATTGTGGAGCCTTTTCGGATATCTGGGATGTCAGTGCACGGTGTAGGGTTGGAGTGTGTGTTGCACATTTGGGCTTTGGGGTGGGATGGGGGTTGGGTTGGTGTGCCAAACAAGAGGCTTCAAGTTTTCAATTATTCTACGTGATCCAGACAGCTAGGATCACGTGTTCGTTTGATCCTGTTCATGTCAGGGTTCATCCCTACCCAAGGGCGTGGGTCGTGCGGGGACTTCCATGACAGAGGCCCGAAGAAGATGAACACGTAGAGGGCAAGAGATGCTGCCATCAGTTCACACTTTCTTCTACTGTGAGACGTAATGGGCATCAAACTGGCTGGTGATCACTCCAGTCGAATCACTGACGAGTTGTTTGACTTGTTTAGCCTCTTTGACTCGTTCAGCCTCCCCTCCCCAATGGATTTGCTCAGGAAATCATCCACTTCATTGTGGTCTTCATTCCAGCCATTCTGGTGTATGTGTGCCTTGGACCTGGTTCCATCCTGAAGTGACCTCCAAACAGCTTGGGAGAAGGGCAGGCCAGGGGACGAGCTTGGGATACTCAAGCTGTGAAGGTTCTTCGGATACTCAAGTTGATGTAGACATCTTACTCTTTTGTTATTTGGGATATATACTCAAGTTGATAAACTTGGGAACTATGAGCTTGGGATGACTTACTTTTTGTTGGATCTGCCAAATGATGGACACCCACACCATGCACCAGTGGTCCCAATGTAGCGGACTTTTGCACCCAGGTTCAGCGCCACACTCCTGTTTGGCCGGCGGATTCAGGCAGAGCCTTCTCTTGTCTTCTTGATGCCAGCTTGCTAGACTTGATTCCTGCTTAGTGTATGGTTCCTTTTCTGTCAGAATCCAAGTTCCGGCCTACTATGAAACAGGTCTTGAGCCCAAAAGGATTTGATGAACGCCCCGAAGCAGACCACTCGCATTGCTTTCAGTGTATGAAAGCCGTGGTGTTACGTTACGTGGCGTTGGCGTGACCGTGGCCAGGACGTTTCCACCTTCTGGGGATCGATGGGCCTCTTGGACCGTTGGTGAGAGAGTCAGAATCAGCTGTTCTCCAGCTGTTCTCCTAAAGAAGATCCACCAAGGTAGCTGTGAATCCCGCGATAGGTAGACCATTCCATACACCGGCGGCTCTGCTGGCAAGTGCAAGAGTGAAGAACAAGTCGTGGTGACCCACCACCAGGTTTGGAGGATGAATGAAAAGGTCAAAAAGTGGGCTCGTCGCGGGCAAAGACTGCCCCAGCTTTTCCCGGAGCCGTGTTTCGGTGTGACGACTAATTCACGTCGGCCGATTGGACCGCTTGGATCCCTGCCGGATGCGGCGCACGACGTGCGCTTGACAGCCTCACCCTCTGACTGAGGCTACATCTTCCGGATGACTCAGGAAGGCGAATACGACTGGGAGGCCTTTCAGGCGAGCTTTTGGGAGTTGTTTTGTTTCGCCGAGCTTTCTGGGCCGAACAGAAGAGTCTAAGAAGGGAAGAGAGCTACTGCATGACTATAGGGTTTGAACACCTGGTTGGCTACTCTGCCGTTGGGGCTTTTCCTCTGATGTTCATGAAGCAACCTCTCATCTCGACCTTCGGCAGGAAGAGAACTACTGGTCCTCGGCCATTTGGGTCTGGAGCTTTGTAGTTCCTTGGTTGCGGGACGTGGATGGTGATGGGACGTTTGATTCGTTCTTCATTTCAGCGGAACAAGAAGCTACTAGGAACAAAGGGCATCGCTACTAGGAGCGAGGACGCTACTAGGTGCGCTCCTGGCCATACTACTAGAAGCAAGAAGCTACTAGGAACAAGGAGCTACTAGGGGCTCCTGGCATCGCTACTAGGAGCATTCTTACTACTAGTAACAAGAACATTCAGGAGCTGCTGGAAGTGCTCGGAACGTTTCAGGCAGTTTGGGTTTGACGTTTGTATTCACGAAGCTTCTTGGGTCCATAAATTGATAAGTGTATAGTCATGGCACGCATACACACTCAATCTCAAACTCTCAAACTTTGCGTTTTTTTGCCGAGTAGATATACAATCTGCAGGGACACTTGCACTAGGCACTTCTTCTTCCCAGCGCCCCCCTGTGGACCCCATGTGCAGTTCAACATATGCCACAATGAGGTTTTCGTGAACATGTTGCTGATCAATTTGCTGATCGCCATCATTTTGGACACCTACAAGGAAGTCCAAAAGGCCGAAGAAAGCAGAGAAGCGGTCTCCTGGCGAAGCTGTCTCTTTCTGTTTGCTTATTTGTTATTGTTGCTTTTCTTTTTGGCCCGCGCCAACTTAATTAAGTGAGGGTGAGGGCAACTAACTAGCCGCTACTACCTACTGGACGCAGGACAGCTCACGCTCCCTTGAAAAAGGTCTCACACGGTTCTTGGCGTCTTTGATATCCAGAGGTCTATTATTATGATGGTCTAGAGTCTATAGGTCATGACACGTCATGACAGATTCAACCTAAATACTATAAACCAGCCAATTGAGCTTGGGACCTTCAGTCGGGAGATGCATCCGAAGAATCTAAACTAGTGAATCTGAAGAATAAGGCCATGATCCAATCAATCCGCCAGAAGAAAAGCTTGTTTATACACGTTGGCTCACAATAGATGACAGTGAGCAGAAAGTGAGGAGGGCCCCAGTTATATTTTATTCAAGCTTACAATTCTTTTCATTCTCAATTGAGGTGCCGGCGGCCGGGGGTCATTCGTTTCTGGCCACTCTTCTTCTCGGTTTCTACTTCTTGCAATTGTCGATTATTTAGGGATCTCTCTCTAAAGCACCCTTGCCTGGTTCGTGCCAGTGCATCCAATGTTTCGTGCCCGTGCCATGACGGGGGTGGTTTGGTCGATGGAGACGGGCGCTCAGTGGTTGGGGTGACGCGGCCTTTTTGCGCACCAAACCGAGGTCTGGCACACTATGACCCAGTTCTGGTACCGCTTGATCACAATCAGGACTCAGAACCGGTTTTGACCACCGTTTTGTTGAGACGAGGCCGCAATCAGGCCGTGGCCAGAATAAGTATACTAGTGCTTATTTCTTAGACTCTTAGAGATTTGTGGATTTACTGTAAACAGAGGGTCTTGCATTTCTGTACCACATGAGCATAAGCCTAAGTCGGGCCTCTTCGGGATAGCCAGGATATTTTTGCAATTAGCCTCCAGAGGGGGACTGTGATACCTCGTTTTACAAAAGGAGAGGGTCACGGGTTTTCACAATCCCCCTTTTATCGACAGAAGCCGTTTCACCTAGAGCTCGCTCGCCCGCTGGCTCTTTCCGTTCACAGGTAGCTCGATACTCGTAACGTTCAACTTCAAGATGAAGCTCAGACTACCCCACTTCACTGCGCAAACGCATTCATTGGACCTTTCGTCCACAACAATTCACACGATTGCGACGACTCACCGGCCCTGTTCCGACGTGTTTTTCTTTTCGACGTTTTGAACACGGTTTTTGAGAAGAATCGTTTTTAACCAAGTACGACTCTTCACCAGATGTGGACCTTTCCACGTGTAGACCATTGCGTAGATCTCGTTCTGACCATCTCTTCGTTCGCTGCGCTGACATGGGCGCTTCAGTTGCCCACAGCTAGCGCAGTTGGCGCTTCATGGATGGAGGCCTCGTTGAAGATGCCGTCAAAGAGAAGTCGGTCCAAGCGCTCTGGTATGTGGTTCGTCCAGGCTACATGGTGGCCCTCTTTCTGGTGGGATGGGCCGCAAATGTGAGCCTGTTTACCAGATACCACATTGACTATGCGGCCGTCTTGGGCATTACAAAGGAGGAGCTACTCGGAAAGAACATTGGCATCCCAGTGTCTACAAACTGAAGAGTTTCACCAACCCGGACACTTCCCAGTCACCAACCTCCTGTCACATTCCCTCATACGTGTCATGAACAACTTGCTAGGCAGGGATTTCAGGCCCCAGGCCCCCGTACATGCTTTCCCCCTTCCGAAAGGGAACCCTGTCGATCCAAGTACCAGTCCAACGCCTTTGGACACCGAACAACCATACCCACTGAACAAGTAGCCATGCCCTTGTTACTAGTAGCGATGCCCTTATTACTAGTAGCTTCTAGAACAGGCGGAAAGATTTTAAAGAATGAAAATAAGAGTGAACAAAATCCAATAGATATGAGAATGAAGAAGTCCAGATAAACTAGTAGCCGCTTTTCTCTTTGCATCTCCATGCACCAAAGAAATCTATATACTGTAATTGCTGTCCCACCAAAGAAGGGATGCCTTGCCCATCATGTTCCATCTAGCCAATCGACTCTTCCGATTCCGTGCTGGGTTTAAACGAGATTGGAGTCCTTGAGACGCACCGATGGGTCAAATTTGAGGTTCATTTCCTCCCGCTTCTTGGTGATCTTGTCTGCCTTCCTGGCCTTGATGCTGAGCCTGGTGCGGATGCTCGCCTCCTTGCACGGAGCATCCACTGAGCTGATTTCGGTGGTGCTGCTGTGCTATGTGGTGGTGCTCTTGCTGATCTTAGGCACGTTTGATGTCTGTGCACTGGGCGGACTGGGCTGTTGTGACATCCAATCAGTCCAATGCTTTTGTGTGGGGGGAGCGGGGAACGATTACCAAGATGAGGGAAGGGAGATTTGAATGTTTACGCATAAAAAGCTGACTTTGCAATAGCCTCTTGAGCTCACTATTATACAAGAGACAAGGTCGAGGGTGTCCACTCCCCTTTGCCCTCTACAGCGAGTCAATCGTCAAATGAGCCACAATCAAAACTTGTGAAGACCACTTTAGTAGAGAGGGGCAGATTTGTGCACGGAACCCTGTAAAACGATAAGGTCCACCTCAAAACCGATAACGTCCGTGTTTGGGTGTAGGGCAGATAGGACCAGAGGTCCACTCACCGGGATCGAACCGCGCGGATCGGAACGCCGCACGCATTTCAGAACGGAAGCTGAACAGAACGGAGATGGAACGGTGCACTCCGGAACTAACGCCCCCTGTACATGTGGTATTTGGGATGCCATGGGTAACGCTCCGCCGACGGCCTGTTGACTCGTTTTACCTTGAAACAAGGGAGGCCAATCGAATGATTGGTCTGGACAGAGGGCGGTCCAAATGCGCCAGGCGTTAGCCCTGGCCATCGGAGGTTCACTCAAACGGTCTTTCGGGGATGCCTGCGCGATCATTTCAACCAAAGAACAGAGGCCATATCCGGTTTGGTTTGGTGTGTAAGCCACCTCCTTCATCTCTATCCCTCTATCTCTCTCTCTCTCTCTTTCTTGGAGAACGGTCATACTGAGTTATATAGATCCTCAAGTCCACAGGAGATGGGATGCATCAGCATGGCTACGGGGGCTAGCGCAACTGTTTCAATCTTGCACAACCAACTTGCGATCATCGACGCATATCGACGCATTCCAATGCCCTTCGAATCATAGACTCGGGTACATGGAGTTTGTCCCAGGTAAGAGCATTTTTATAGAGATCAGAATAGTATCTGTAAAGTTGCCAAAAGGTGTTGATTTGCCAAGATAAAACATTTCACACTGACTGAAGATCCCATTTCAATATCTCAAATCACATGGCCTGCGCTGAAGTGCCGAGACAACGACATCCAACCACTTGCCATGAGACGCTTACAGAAGTAGTATCATTCCAGGAGGTAATTCTCAACAGAATCACATAGGCCGTACACCTCGCGTGTTACAGGAGCGTATACCAAAAGCGGCTGGCATGGGTCAGTCTGGTAAAAGAAGAAAAGCAGCCAGGGGACTCGAAGTATATTGCGATGAAAAGCAGCTCCTGTGTCCAATCGTATAGGTCTTGTCGATCAAAGGCCACACAAGGCCAAGATCAAAAAAGCTGTCACAGAAGTCGTGACCAACATCGAAGCTGTCTCGTGACGAACCCGACACTCACCCTCACCCAGAGAAAATTCCGCAGGCTCTCAAGACAGTTCCAAAAGAAAGCCCAATCCTCAATGCCCAATCCAAGTAGAATGATGTAAAATGATTGGTATGCGGTTGGTGACCATGCCTCTGCCTCTTCCCTGTCAACAGACAAAACACATTTGTGCATGAGGTGCTGAATCCACTTGAACAAAGCTTTTTGAGCTCTGCGTCACAATGATCAAATAAGTCGCTTGTCCTCAGCAGTTTGCCGTGCGATCTTCCCGATTTGGCTTCCCGGCTTCCCTGCTTCTGTCTTCCACAGACGATGCCGGCAACTTGTGGAATCCAAGGATCACTCGGTCGACTATCTCAGAGGTCGTGTGCCACTTTGATATTAAGCAGCTTGAACTGTAGCATCTTGATCCTGGCTCAGTTCGTGGCCCAAAACTACCAGCCTGCTGGATTCACCTGATTCCTTTTCGTGCCCCATCCCTCCCGGCAGCGTGTTGCCAGGTGTCCTGCCACGTCGCTGGCGGGAGCACTGCCGCTGGCGTGAGCCCTTCGCACAGGCGCTGCGGCGCTGCGTGTGGCCGGACACCATGAAGGAGATCCCCTTCGCGGAGGTCCTGGTGGCGGATGGACTCACCTCAGTGGCGAAGATCAAGGGATGGTGGGGGAAGCGGAGGGGATGGTTCTGGAATCTTTTGAAGTTGGTTGGTGGTGATCATGTCTAAGCAGTGGGTTCTGGAACATCCAAGCTAAGGTACCGTGCCGGTGTAGCTTATGGTTGGCAGAAGTGGGGTGGAGGAAGTGGCAGGCGGCAGGAGTTCCTTTTTCACGGCTCTATTTTGGAGAGTGATGTCAGAACCGAGAAAAGCAGGGGTGCTGCTAGGAGAATCTCAAGGGTCGACGAGATCTGGGGCCTGGTGCCCAATGGGTTGGTACTGGGGAAGCTGACTCAAAAGCGACCCCTGATTTTGGAGGGCCACCTTAAATCTGAGAGGGAGCAGACAGGAGTGAACCACGGGACCTCAGAAGGACTCCGAATCCTTCGCTGAACTGCACCATTGCGACTGGTCGTTCCAAACGAGGTCGCCAAGCTCTTCTTTGACCTGACCACAGGCTCCTGCATCGTGATCTCCAGCAGCGAACCGGCGCTGAAGAGCACTTTGGGGGGCACCTTGGGGACCTTGGGTACTTTGTCGCCCATCAAGCGCCCGGAGTTGACGGCCCAGGGGGTTCTGGCCACAGCTTTGGATCAGTGCCTTGGGATCCAAAGAGGGGAGGGAACCGAGCAGATTGACTTTAAACTTTGCTCTCAAATGCTGTAAGTTGGGCGACTTCTGTGTGTGGTTTCATTCTCCTTCTTCTTCTTGATCTTCTTGACCTTCTTCTTCTTTTTCTTGATCTTCTTGATATCCTTCTTTTTCTCCTCCTTCTCCTTCTCCTTCTTCTTCTTGATCTTCTTGATCTCCTCCTTCTTCTTCTTCTTCATTTTCTTGATCTCCTCCTTCTTCTTCTTCTTCTTCTGCTTCTGTGTGTGAGAGAGAGAGAAACACCATCGAGTGAGAACTTTTTTCCTTGTTACACATACTTTCCCAGCTTCCCTTGCAGGTGCAGCGGTTCCAGCCTGCCCTACCTGGCCTGGTCCGTGCCCTTCCTCATCCGTGCACGTCAGTGCGTCATCACGGCGCGCCACGCGCCGGATGCTTGGAACCGGGACCTGCAACGGATCAATCTGGCGAAGTACCTCTCGGCACTGCCGGTGGTCTTCTTTGCCATGTGCCATGCGCGTGTGATCCCAGGCCAGCAAGTTGTGGGCCAAATGCATCAAATGGGCTTGGTCTTAGTGAAAACCTTTGTTCATGTTTTCATCCGCCACCTCCATGTCTCACCGAACTTCCCACGTTCGAGGTATCAATGGCTCCATGCTCACGTCGGAGGACTTCGAGGTCTTGTGGGCGCTGGCGGCCATCGTGAATTCGGCCTTCTCCTTCTTGTGGGACCTGGTCATGGATTGGGGTCTTTTGCATTGGGTCCCGCTCAAACTCGGCAACTTTGGGCTGAGGCCCACCCTGTTGTGCCTCGGAATGCAGAAGAAAGTGGAGGAAAAAGCCAGCAGAGGGAGTTTAGAAGCTAGAAGATATGAAGAGATACTGTAAGTGTGGTGAGTATTTTGCTGGTTGTGAACAGATGAACTCTTGCAACAAACAAGCACACCGACCAGGTATCCGCAGCCACCCGTGGTCTACTATTTTGCCATTGTTGCTTGGCCAGCCTGAGGGTATGGCTTCCCACTTTAGCTGGTGTAACTTGGATAGCCAGACTAGAGGTTTCTTCGATTGTTTAAGGGAAGTCATGGCCTCTGACACCTTTGGAGTGACCATTTCATGGTTCTTTGGACCCCTACAATCTGGAAAGAGGCAATATAGCTTTGGTCGACGGCACAAACGTTATGTTCGACCGGCGCTCAGCCGGTCTGAGGTTCTCAACTTCATCGGGCGCACCCTTTGGTCCTTGCGCTGGTCGGAGCAGGCCCTTCCTTGGACGGGTCAAACGCGGACCACGAAGCAACCATTTATGATACATATTCGGATGTGGCTGGACATGTGGGAGTTTAAATACCGTTCAATGTTGCTGCAACGTGGTGTTTGTCTAGTCACTTACTCTTTGGAGGCATTTGTACTTATATATCTATTCTGGTCTGTGTTAAGCCGCAAGAACTGACAATTGAAGACTACACAGCCAAAAGGGCACAAAGTTATAGCTACCACTTGCTGCTAAGTAGCTCAGCTTCCATGTGCTCTTCCAACTGCGCCCTTGGTCGGTTTTGTATGCGAAGGCCACCATCTTTTTGGGTGCCTTCTTCCTGTCCAGTGTGCAACAAGCGGCCGAAGTGGTCCGAAGATGCCTCTGGCTCCTGGTCTTTAAACGGGTTTTCGGTTGGCTGGTAGATGGATATTTGAACCTTGAACTCGGAGGTAGATTACTTTGTACTTTGCCTAGGGCTCCCAAAAGGCCTTTGAGACCAAAATTCTTCACTTATATAGATATACTGTAACAGTATGCCGATTTCCTTTTGCCCTTCCGTCTTCCGATTACGTCCAGCAAGAAAGAAGTTCAGACATACAAGGCTTTGCACAAGAGCTCCCGGGTAAAGTGGGCAGCAGCAAGAAGGACCCTGGCAAAGGACCTGCAAGCTTTCTGAAGATAAACACATCCAGACGAAGACAGGTGGTTTGCGCCCAAACGGGGCTGCATGCTTGGTTGATCCGTGGCAGATGATTTGCCAGATCCATCTGACAGCTTGTGGCAAAGCTTCAACCCACATGATGATAGCATACATATCTCTTGGGGTTGCAAGCTTGGATATGGTGGATGCTTTTTTTGTGTCTGAATATCTCTGTCTCGTGTGACTCTTGTGACCTATTTTTCCTTCCCCATTGCACTTCGATGCTTGGTTGCGGGCTTCTGCCTGGATTGCTAAGGAATGTGCTGCGCGTCGAGTGGCAGTGCATTTGCAAGGGCAAATGGGCGCGAAATGACAAAAGTTTTCCTGTTTAGCCAAGCTCAGGGTTGGCCAAATAATTGCATCATCCAACCATAGACTTTGTTGAAGATTTGACCATAAGATTGGATCCTGCAACCATAGATGGCCATACCCTGTGAGCACTCTGCAAGAGGGCCTTGCCATGACCAAAAGGACCGACATTAAAGGAAGAGGGCATGACTGCCGGTAGAACGGGCCGAACGAAGATGCTTTGCACTTGTCCCTTTTTAACAGATTCTCATTTGCATGTGCATTCACGTACCTAGTAGTACACTATCCAAGACCTAAGAGGGCTTTGATTGTATGTTTATCTCCAGCACATTTGCACCACACACAGAGAATGGCCCTTATGCAATCTTTCAGCCCTCTTTCTGGTGGCCCTTTTTGTCTCACCCTGCTCGGCGAAACGACCGTGCCCAAAAAGGCTGCGTGACAGGGCACAGGCTGCGTGCACCCCTTCTGGCCAGGATCTCTCTCTCTATATATATAGAGAGATAGATAGATAGATAGATAGATAGAGAGAGAGAGAGAGAGACTCGTAGCCGACTTGTGGCTGTTTGAAACCATGTCGAACCCCAAAAGTCAAGATCCTCAGCCACCTGCCAGCGTACTCCGCGCCACAGGAGGTGGGTCAGTGAGTTGGAGATCGCTCAGATGTGTTCGGACCGGTATCGCCCGGATTTGTTGGATGGAGAGGCGATGAAGGAGACGGGGAGGGCGAAGATGGGAGCACCATCCAGCCAATGCATGCCTTTGTGGTCCGAGGGTGACAGACCAGGATTTGAGTAGGTTTAGATAGGTTCAGGAGGTACAGGGTGGATGAGAAGCGCTTGTCACCATTTACTTTACAAAAGGGCATTTGACCCAATAGGGTGACTTTGAGTTTTCCTTGGTAAAAAGATATGGGAGGTCCCCCCAAATGATGTCCTTATTTCATATGTAATATTATTACGCAGTGCCAACCCTGCAAAACTGCAAAACCTTGCAACACGATACCTACTGTGTCCATGTGCCAAGCACTGCAAAACGATACGTGACGTCCAAACTTCAATTGAATACCCCCAAATTCCAGTCGAGAACAACTCATACGGGTTTGCGGAGGGTCAACACCTGGAAGGATAAACATCAGGTGATGCAAGAAGCTGAAAAGGTCCCATCAGGACACTAGACTTGGATCATCTCTCCTTATATTTACAGCTGTCTCTGTCCAATCAAGGTACAAATGATCGATAGACGCCGTGGGGGGAGGTGTCAGGTACAGTAGCCATCTCTGATGCTCGGGAGTGGCCATCTCTGAACATTTTCTCACAATGAGCATGTCGGTCTGTTCATTACACCATTCGGTGACAAGTGTGATGCTCGTTCTGCATTTGCAAACGTGCCGAGGAGCAGTTTCCCAACATGCCGCAGTACCAGCTAGATCTGATTTTGGCCGACTCCGAAATCATGATGGAGGCCCAGGCAAACAAAGACATCAACACAGAGAAGCTCGGCGGCATTCACATTGGAAAGGCGTTCACATCCTTTCTGGCTCATCAGATGCCTCTGACTTCCAATCACCTCCGGTGTCGAGTTTCAAGGAAGCTGGTGAAAATGGCTGGTTCTCTGATGAACTCGGTGAGTGGTGTCAACGAGAACCTGGAGCACATCATGAAGGAGGAATCGAGGGATCCGCTGTGGCTTGGCAGAAGAACGAGTGATCCGCTGTGGCTTTGCATGGTGACCAGGTGCCTTGAAGTTTCACTCGGACACTTGAAGAGAGCATTTATTACTTGACATGTCAGGCACGATGTTTATCGTTAGAGGGTGTTCAATGTTCATATTTCTTGGAAATGTCTGGCAGGTGATGGGGTCCAAAAGGGCCTCTGAAGTTTACACCATTTCACGGCCATCCAGGGGTTTGCGTCAGGTGACCAACTCACTTTCCTCTCAGGTGATCAACTTTTGTAGCTGGTTCGATTGCTTGGGGGCCATCCGCCCCAGCAATGAGACATATTTGAAGACATTGATCTGAGTGCAATGCGAACACTCTGGTTTTCGCCCTTTCAGAGGTTGCCCTCTTACCTGACAGGGTTGTGCCTCAAGTGAACAGGCAACTCTTTTCCCCTTGCAAGTGCAGCTTGCTTAGTCACTGACTTCGGAAAATGGGTGGAGTTGTGGATGTTGGTTTTTCTCAGCGGGAACACATGTGCTCTGAACCTGTTTCAGGCAGAGCTGGGTGGTGGGCAAGAACGTGCCAGGCACGAGACCTTGAGAAGCTTTCTTAGCTTCTAATCCCTCCTACTTTCAAGCCTTATTTTGCTTGATCTTGGCCTCTTCAACGATCTGGAACCATGTATTTAAATAGTGGTACAAGGATTGTGGTACAAGGATTGTACATGGTCATACCATGTAGGTAGACAGAGTATCACATGATCCTTTTGTCTGTGCAGGTTGACACCGGTGATTCAAGTTGCTTCCAGGGGTCACGCTGCAAGATGTGAGGGGGTCGATTGGAGCCTGCAGAAAGAGCCTTGTAGGTTTTGCCACCAACACCGAGAACCCAGAGAATATGCACAAAGGAAGCCGACCTCCAAGGCTGGGTTGAAGGGTCAGACAGAGAAGAGAGAGAGAGAGAGAGAGGCACACACACACACACACACACGCACACGTTGATCCATGTAGCCCAAGAAATCCCAAGAACATATGGCCTGGACACCAGAGTCGTCTTTAGCTTCTTTGGATCCTTCAGAAGGGTGGGCAGAGCATCTGGTCATGTGATTCTGTTCGAGGATCGCCCGCGGCCCGAAGGGTCCTGTTGAGTGCAGCTTGTGGAGTGAGAAGCTCCCAGTGGATGGGAGCTTTGAGCCCCGCGTTTACGCGATTTCTCGTGGGTTTTTGAAGCCACGTTTCGTTCAGTGGACAGAGTGATCAATGGTCTTGTTTTGGGAAGGCGAAGTGAGTCTCTTCAAGATTGTGTGTTGGGGATGATGAGCACCTGGACTCTTCGCGTGGATAGGCCACAGTGCAGGTTGCTGGTTGGTCAAAGTGGGTGGGTTGTCGGGTTACTTGCGCCTGTCGGCCATTTCCTCTTTCAGGACACATTCAAAAAAGACTAAAGAAAGGAAGAACTAACAAGAAACAAATTCTGCCAAACAAAGACGCTACTAGGGGCTCCTGGCCTTACTACTAGGAACAAGAAGCTACTAGGGGCTCCTGGCCTAAAAGCACCATTTTCTTCCCAATGTCTTCACCCTGTCGACATCAAACGTCGACTCGCCCGGAGACCAACACGCCTTGGAAAGCGGTCCGCCGCTCCGAAGCGGCACCAGGATTGTGGATCCTTTCAAGGTCGATGAGGTTCTGGATGAAGACGGACAGTTCTTTGGCCCACGGACGGGTAGTGACCGTGGTGCGACAGGATTCTTTTTGCCAAGTTTATTTGAATTCTTTGGAACTATCATGCTATCATGCTGCAATGCTTGTGGTCTGTTTTCCACACAACACTTAGAGTCATGGTTTTGCCTGAACCGCTGTACCAATTCTGAAGCTGAACGACCCAAATCAGAACTGCCAACGAAGTGGGTCTCAACTTACCAACTTGGGGAGTTGGCACATCAGCTGTCAGTGAGCAGGAGTGTTGCGTATTGCAACGGGGCAAGTACCTGGAACGTGTGAGTGGGACGTGATGCTAGTGATGGGCCATGCCAAAACAGTCTCTTGAATGTCCACAACCTGCTCTTGACATGTCTCAAGCGGAGTCTCTAGGGCTGGGACTTTCCAAGACGAGGCCTCAGGGCTGGGGAACGGCTCAAACAGCCACCATGGCCCATGGTGGCTCTTGGGCGACAGGTTGCGAACGCGGCGAAACACGTCCAAAGGAGGTGGCGCTTCGACGCGACCGAGGCCCATCGAACCGGAGGAAGCAGAGGAGGGCAACAAGGAGGTCGAGCCCGAAGAGGAGAAGGCGCATGCCGAGGGCGGATGCCCGGACGTCTAACGGTGGTCAAGACGACTTCATGATTCGTAGGGTCAAGGCGTTCAGGGAGCTGCAGGTTCCATGTTGGCGTTCAGGGAGCTCGGGTCGTCGGAGCTTGTGGGAGTGACGACCGAGCCACGGCCGCAGTTCAAGACGCTGTGGCTGATTGAGACTGAGAACATGATGAAGGCGGGAGTGACGACCTGCAGTGAAATGGCGCCGGTGGTGTCGGAGGCTGTTGGTTTAGAGACTTGGGGTTTGTTTGGGGTGAGGTATTTGATGGTAGTTGAGGCATTTGAGGTATTTGACCCCGCTGAGTGATGCCTAGTAGCAGTCTAGATCCACGAGCATAAAGGCTTTAATATATCGGTGCCTTTCATAAATCTTCAGGACTGGCTGGGTGCACGGGATCACTGAGAGAATTCGACAGACCAGTCTTTTTGATGGCAGGCTCGGACCTGTACAACTAAGCACGATTTCCAATTCCATGTCTCCGGACATTGAGACTTTCTTTTGAACATGTGGATGCCTTCACCAAGCTTAGTCTCAATGCCAGGCCATTTACCCTTTTCCTCAGCCGACTTTGAGGGCTTTTCCTCAGATTCCTTTTGTGTTCCGACGCTCAAAGGCCCAGCGCAGCTGGTTGGTGAACGCGTCGTGGCATTTAGACCAGCTCAACGCAGTGCTCAGGCAGCGAGCCAAGCAGCTTGGATATTTTTTGGTTGCTGGGGGATCCTTCCCGGCTGGGGGTCCGGCACCATGCACCATGGGACGTCTAAAGACATGCAATGTGTCTATGAGTTGTACCATGCAGTTCCATACCTTCTATGACTGCCCAAGGCAGTCACCTGTGGCCACACATGCATCGAATTCATTGCTGCCTGACTCGGGCGGCGCCCAGACAGCAAAAGGACAGCTGTACTGATGCTCTACAGTCAGCATGCGGTACACTGTCCCACCGTGTCCCACCGGCCAATTCGCAAAGCTGCCCTCGAACTACCTGTACTCCGCAAGCGGCAAGCGATTTGCAGCCACTACTTCCACACGGCTTTGCTAGTAGCAAAACTGACTACTGTATATACAATTCGAACTTCGACCTAGTAGCCAACAGCTGTGTTCAAAGTAAGAGCCGGCCATCAGCTTTCAAATCCGGTCATCAGCGAGTTTGCTATGCAGCAGCTGCATGGGACCTGCTGCGCAAAAGGACCCTCACCAGCCAACCCAGATCCTGTTCAAGCCGTCGGCTCTGCATGGCACTGCCAAGGTTTTGGCAAGCTCTCCAGTTTCCAAAAATCTCAAGGCCGAAAGTGTTCCTCCCTGGTCCCTGCGAGGCAATCCTTTGGCCACAACTACAACCAACAGAGCTGCATCGCATGCGTACTTCTTCTTCTCTGGCACCATCGCACTTGACCAAACACCAGCGTCCATTGACACCATGGCATGAGTCCGAGCTCACTGGGGCCACAAGATTCCTTGCATGTTCTGTAGGCTAGCTCGAGCCCTCAATTCTATACCAAACGAATGAACATGGTTTTACTAAAGTTTCAATCCGGGTGCTCAATGTAGCATTGAAAGTGAGCGCAGTGATCCTTGCCGATAACTTTTCGGGGTACTAGTAGTTGAAACAGAACAGAATGGGAACGGGTGCGCCTTGGTGGATCATGGTCGCGTTTTCCTGCAGGAAACTGGTTGTGGCCCGCGGGAAACGGTCCACAAATGCTAGGATCCTGCAAATCCTGCATGGTGGATCTCTTCCAGAATGGTTTGTAGCGCATTCCCTTTTCCTCGAGACAGCTCCTTCGCTCACAGGCTTTGAAGCACCGATGCCCCGCTTTGATTTATTCCTGTGGTTCTCTCATATTTCACTATTTGAGCAGGTTCACCAGTCAGCGGCCACGGCATTCCAGCTGATCCATTTTCTTACAACCACAAAGTGGGGTCTTTTCATTGCCTTCTGGAAAAATCAAGGCTAAAACAAAGGGACTCAATCCAGGATTTGATTTATCAATTTAAGGGTCAACTGCGGGCGACCCCGACCCTGACACCGAAATCCCGCTGGGTTTCCCAGCACCGAAATCCTGCCCACTCGAGGCAGATCGGCGCCGCTTCGGCCCTGGCGCAACTCAAGGGCGGGCCTCTTGACGGCACAACCGGCAGCAATCATCCCTCACGGGCAATGCGAAGAACGAGTAAGACCCCTAAAGACCCACAGGTTTTGGGCTAATGTTCTCCTTTCCAAGGGGTTATACTAGTTCGTCGATTCTGACAGAGTGTTAAAAAGTAGAGTGATGTCGTTGACTCGAGTGAGGATCCGGAGGGGGTGTTTGAATTGTGAATCTACCTCCCCAGCTGAAGATAGGAACCTTTCTCGGGAGAAGCGATACCTGAAGAGGAGAGCACCGGGAGAGTTTGATTGAATTGAACAAAGTCTGGTTGGCTTGTGAAGTCTTGTTGGTTGATGGGTATAGTATAGTGTATTTTGTTGCTTTGCCATGCTTTGCCAGCTTTGCCGGTGTATATTTGTGTGGAGGGGCTCCTGCAACAAGCAAAAGGTTCCTCCTCGTCAAACATCCAAAAAGGTTCCTAACAGACAAAACAAGGTTAACTGCTCTTTAGCATGTGGCGGAATACGCTAAACGGAGAAAGTCATTATTCCGGTCGGTGAGGATGGAGACAACGAACACCATGCCCGCGTTGAAATCATTCTTCCTACACCTCACCGATTGCAGACCCACACTGGGATGCTTAAGAATCGAAAGGTGATGTCCTAATGATGTCCAGTCAATGCCCGGAAATGAGAGTTTCATTGGTCCGGAAGCAGGATGTGGAGGAACCTGCCACTGAGGCGAACCACTCAGGGAGGAATCCGAAACTCCTCTTCCATGTGGTGAGGCACCGTGCATCAAGACGCTGGGGTGATGTCTCATGGATCTCAGTCTCAGTGGTTAAAATAGACTCAGCACGGGAGGAATGTGGTGGTTGTTGCTGCAGACCAGCAAGATAAGGGGTCAGTTGTGGCTTGCAGGGGTTTGTTCCCAGACATGAACCTTCACCGATTCAGGTCAACTGAAGTGGCTCTACAACGCATGCAGACTTTCACCGTGCAAAATGACCCACTTGGCCCAGCCCGAGACCTTGCCAGGTCTTCGACCACGCCTGAGAAGTCGACCAAGTAGTTGCTCGCTCAGCGGTGATTCCCGGAGCCGAGAAGCATCGAAAACGCAACCCGTTACGTCACCGGTAACGTCTGGAGGGCTTTTTCATCACCGGTAACGGATGCCAAGGACTCCCCACTGCTATCCGGGGCGATTTGAGAATCAGCACTTTGGCTCTGGTCTTTCACGGCTGGTCTCACCGTAGACGTCCAGCCTGGACCCGGTCTCACTTGCGTTTGGAAGCGAACGGGCAGGGTTTGGCTGGGCAAAGAACCCTGACGCCATGTTTCCATGACAGGTTTTTTCTCCTTTCAACCAGATAAAGCCTTTTCTTTTCGCTTTTTGATAGTTCAACCCTCCGAGGCCTTTTGCTATCCTCTCTTTATTCATCAATCCTTTGTGAATCTTCTGTGCCGTTATGATAGGCTGGAGGGTGATCTGGAGCTGTTAGTGTCTGTCTGACCCCTAAAGATTTGCGACGAACTGTGGCCGATCCAAGCGCTGTTAAAGCAAGACGGGCATCCGCCCAAGGTGGCACGCCTGCAGGGGGTTTGGAAGGAGGCAAAGGCTTTGGAGCAGCTGGCATCATTGGTTGGACAGGGCTCATTGAAATCTGGAATGGATACATAATGAAATGCCTCCTTGAAACAGGTTCCAAAGCCATGCATCTTTTCAACTCTTGCTCGAGTTCGATCAGAACTCGCTTCTGACAAAAGAAACATCCGCTTCATACATTTATGAATGTGTGAAATCACATATAATTTTGATACTTTGAATCCCGACAGCCAAATTTTGTAAGTTTATGATCTATACAAACACGAGAAACTCTTAAACATATTACTTTCAATGTTGTTTTGCGAAACAAGGAAACAATTGGAGGAATTTTATATTTTCTCTCCAAACGATTTATGTGTTTGTATTTTGATGCCCTTTGGAATTGGCCTCGATTTTGTAGTTGGAGCAATATTGTTAGTTTGTCATAATAGCTCATGGCTTGAAATCCTTTATATTGGACAAATCGAACTAATGGGGATAAATCTAAATATTATTCGGCATATTGATATTACGTAATCCTGGTAACAATGATTTGTGTAGCTCTGCACTATATTCGCCTGGAAATTTGTTTTGGTATATTTGTGATATTTGAGGATTATATGTTTTTTTTCTTCGATTATTTTTGAATATAGGTATAACTTTCCGAATTTCGGGTGTTAAGGCTATTGTTTTGATTATGAGAATTTGTTTTATTTTTAATAATCTATATGATTTTTTAAACGGATTTTTTTAAAGATATTTTTTCGATTGGTTTTGTTTTTGTCGTTTATTCCCCAATAGCCATGCTATGGGGTCTTGCAAAACTAATAGGCGGACGGGCGCCGTCGGGTCACCGTCAGAGCTGGTGGGCGGAGGGGGTCCCGGTCATGTTTTGATGGCGTCCGGGTCATGTGATGCTGGTGTCCCGGTCATGTTTTGATGGTGTCCCGATCATGTTTTGATTGTGACCCAATCATGTTGTGATGGTGTCCCGGTCCTGTTTTGATGGTGTCCCGGTCGTGTTTTGATGGTGTCCCGGTCATGTTGTGATGGTGTCCCGGTCATGTTTTGAAGGTGCCCCGGTCATGTTGTGATGGTATCCCGGTCATGTTGTGATGGTGTCCCGGGCATGTTTTGATGGTGTCCCGGTCGTGTTGTGACGGTGTCCCGGTCATGTTTTGATGGTGTCCCGATCATGTGATGGTGGCGCGGTCATGTTGTGATGGTGTCCCGATCGTGTTTTGATTGTGTCCCAGTCATGTTGTGATGGTGTCCCGGTCGTGTTTTGATGGTGTCCCGGTCATGTTTTGGTCCCGGTCATGTTG